AGAGAGGGGGAGGGGGGATTGAGAGAGAGAGAGAGAAAGATAGAGAGAGAGAGTGAGAGGGGAGAGAGGGGAGAGTGGGGTCAACAGTAAGCTCAATGCGGTTTACTATCTATATTATTACCCCAGTAGACCTGAAAGCATTCTGAAACCATCTCCCAAGTATAAATTATTTAATTTTGTTTCCACGGTCTCTCAAGTTATGCAAGAGACCAGACGTTGGCGGCCATTTTCTCGCTAATTTTACCTCTGAAATCATGTTGCCTCCACCTCCTACAATTGCAAACGTCTCGACTTCTATTCAAAATAGATGGGTAACTTTTAAAATCACAAGCAAGACAAATAAACAAGATTTATAATGGTACTTATAACTCAATATACCCCAAAATAAACAAGCACCTGATTCCACCACGTCGTAACACAAGTATTACTCTTCCTCTTTTCTCTCCTCCCCAGCCGCCAACACACAGGAAGTGCACGCGTGGGAGGGAAACTCTGGCTCAGCCATGCAGTTCCTCAGTTTCTCCTACTCTCTGGGCGGCATCATCGGACCTCTGATCGCGGAACCCTTCCTATCCTCGGCGCATCCCCCAGTGGACACCGGCCAGCCTTCGACCAACGTCACACAAAGTCTTTACAACGGCTCTGTGACGTCAAACAGAACTCGCGATCTCCCGGATAATTCCTCGGACTACATCCAGCAGCGTGCCTCTGGTCAAGTGACGCCCAACTATACACAAGTTGATCCCGGTTTAGGCCTCTCTGTAGACAACTCCTCGTCTGGCGAGGCGAATAATTCTACGCTGTATGGTCTCCAGCCTTCTGGTTTTGTCCACTACAGCGGGTCTGACCATATGGAGTTGGTCAGCAACATGACTCAATCTTCGGACGAGGCACACTTCGAGTCAAACATCCACTACGCGTATTTAATTGGTGCCATTCTCACCGCCTTTGCAGCCATTCCTTTTATCGTGCTTTATTTCCGGTCACGGCAGAACATGAAAGTGACCGGTCAGTCTTCGTCCTCCGCGGACTCACGCTACCATAGACTTCCTCTACGGACGTACATCTTCCTAGCCGGCGTAATCAGTGCCTTCTATTTCTTTTACACTTCTGTGGACGATTCGTTCGCGCAGTATCTGTCCGTGTTTGTAGTCACAGAACTGGGCTGGAGCAAAGAGGCGGGGGCGGAGGTGAGCTCTCTCTACTGGAGCTGCTCGACAGTGACCAAGCTGGTCATGGTTCTGGTGGTTCAACGGCTCAACGTGAGCGCTGTTCTCCTGCTCAGCACGGTCGGAATGATGATCTCTCTGGTCATGATCTCGCTGTTCTCTCTCCACAAAGTCCACGCCATGGTGTGGGTGTCCACCGCCTGCCTCGCTCTCTCCCAGTCTGCGGTGTTTGGAGGCGGTTTTGCCTGGGCAGACACAAATTTGCTGATGCTTGACGGGAAAATAACGAGCTGTGTGATGATCTTCAGCTCTCTCGGGGCCATGGTCACGCCTCTTTTCCTGGGCTACATGATGAAGGAGCTGTCTCCGATGTCCTTCCCGTACCTCCTGACGGCTCAAAGCTTCGTCACCTTCCTCCTGTTTGTGTCTATGATCACTGTGGTCAAGCCTATTGTCACACGCAAATACGGCCCTCCGAGACCTACGGTATCTTGTGGGGAGGCTAAAGAAGAAGAAGACAGTGAATCACTGAGGGGCAACGGTGTGAAGAATATTCCAAAAGACAGTGTATCGAAAAGTACTCTTCAGTACCCAGTGTCTGCTTTTTGTGAGCCTATGAAGGACAGCGTTGAGGAGTCCAGTCAAATGATCTAAATTGTGTCTGTCGCGATGTAAAACACCAACATGAAAACGGTGTCGAGTCTAATGGCTTTATGTTGTTCTGTTGTGTTCTCAACTTTGGCATTCCCTGACACTATAACAAGCTGCCTCAAATACCTCTTATGTTGTTCCCTCCTAGAATTATTTTACTAATGTAATTTCTCTTCTTTGCCAGAGCGAATTGTGTAAGAAATGGAGAGTGCATGTGTTAGTGTATTATTGTGAGTTGATTTTCATCGTCAAAAATTCTCTGCTGGTGTGTTGAAGACAAACGACCCAATCAGAAAACAAGAACATTCGAAATTGTTGATAAGGCCAGCCGTTGTGAGGGAGAAAATAGGTACTTTTAGACAGGTGAATATCTTGAAATATCTCATTAAAACATATAATAAAAGCAAAAGTTGACGGGGAGAGGGGAAGTGGCACAGGTGATAGTCATGGGACAGGTGGCTGAATGATAGAACAGATTCTACCGTACTTTAATAAGATATTACATTAGCTGGGTACCCGTTCGATGGACGGACTGAAAAAGACTCGATTGTCAAGTCATTGTGGAACCAGTGTGCACTGCTTGTGAACAGAAGCCTCATTTGTTTACAATGGCGTCTTAGAAGACAGACTTTCACAAGTTTAGATCTAAACGAAACTAATGAAAAACTGAAAATTAAAGTACAGTGACTTCAGACTCCTTAATATTATAACTGTGCACCTTTTAAATGATTCTGAATCACATTTTGTTTGTTTTTTCAAATTCGAAAGTTAAGTGGTTCAGAAGTTTTAGGCGACCGAAGAGACGAGCTTTCACAAATATAATATATAGATATAGAATCTGAGTATGCAGTGTGAATTTGCCACGAAAACAACTTTTTTGGGTCTTTTTAAAAATTATTTTTCTTTCGGTTTAAATTGATGCTGAAATCAGCAAATGTGGTTTATCAGTTCGTCACTTTTTCCATCACACACAGAAGACCAAAGTTGTATTCCTGTGCGAGGAGAATTTTATCGAGTACCTTTATATCTCTGTCTCATATGGATTTGAATGCCTTCCAGTCCGGGTTAGCCCCGATAGGTAGGGTCGGAGATTGCTTCATACGTCGTGCAAATGGTGTTGATGAGGGCGTAAAATCACATTTAAAATAGTTCGTTGTTAGGCACGCGTACGCCCGCCAAACACTGAATTGTTCGGGGCACGTATTTTCAAAGTCACAAGACTAACTAAGAGTAAGAATAGATCGAGACCTACCTTTCTAGGGTCTCCTTTGACGAAACTGCGTAATTCTGTTTACCATGGTCTCCTATAGCTTTGCTTACTTCACTCTTTTAGAGAAGTGAAAACGTTTCCAATATCTAGAGACGGTGTGGATTTCAAGGTACCATCCATATTTTCACGAGTCTCAATCTCTTTATACAACTTTCCCAAACATGCTGATGAAATGAATGGGGGAACGATCTTGACTTTGAAAATACGTGCGCCCAACAATTCAGTTTTAAGCAGGCGTACGCGTGTCTAACAACTTCACTTAAAATATCATCATAAAGTACCAGGTGTGCGACAGACATCGGAGATCATGGTTCTCCATTCATTTCTTTGTCCAGATGCTGTCAAAAAGTATATTATTTTATCCTGCTCTTTCCCCTACACCCATTTATTTCAGCTCTCCAAGTAAGTCGCTTTGGGTCTACCTCTGCATCGTTTGCCTTCAAGTTTGCCAATGACAATTTAATTAATATACAAAGCCTTTACTGCGTCTATTCAAGTCTCAGAAACTGCATTTGTCTCTTCCGAATTGTTTTCAACAAGCGAGCGTCCCACGTGGGCTTCTTTAAGTACTACCTCATTTGATTTTTTCACCAAGACAAA